AAAAGAGAAGAAAGAAAGAAAGAAAGAAAGAAAGAAAGAAAGAAAGAAAGAAAGAAAGAAAGAAAGAAAGAAAGAAAGAAAGAAAGAGAAAGAAAGAAAGAAAAAGAAAGAGAGAAAGAAAGAAAGAAAAAAAAAGAAAGAAAAAGAAAGAAGGAGAAAAGAAAGAAGGAAAGAAAGAAAGAAAGAAAAAAAAGAAAGAAAAAGAAAGAAAGAGAAAAGAATAAAGAAAGAAAGAAAGCAATAACGAAAGAAAGAAAAGAAACAAGAAAGAAAAAAAAGAAAGAAAAAGAAAGAAGAAAGCACGAAAGAAAGAAAAAAACGCAAATAAAGAAAGAAAGAAAGCAAAGAACAGAACGAACAGAAAAGAAAAAGAAAGAAGAAAGAAAGAAAGGAAGAAAGAAAAGAAAGAAAAAAGAAAGGAATATAGAAAAGAAAGGAAGAAAAGAAAGAAAAAATAAAGAAAAGAAAGAAAAAGAAAGAAAGAAAGAAAGAAAGAAAGAAAAAGAAAGAAAGAAAGAAAAAGAAAGAAAGAAAGAAAGAAAGAAAGAAAGAAAGAAAGAAAGAAAGAAAGAAAGAAAGAAAGAAAGAAAGAAAGAAAGAAAGAAAGAAAGAAAAGAAAGAAAGAAAGAAAGAAAAGAAAGACCAGAAAAACCGAAAGAATGAATGAAAGAAAGACAAGAGTGGCATAACTAGTGTGCTTGGGCGCCTGTAACTGCTGATTCGTGCTCCACGCTGCCCTCGCCATAAACACCTTAAAAAGAAACCTCTGGGTTTGGGTCTCCTGCCTTGGGCTCCCTCGGGGCTGCACGGTCCAGCTTCACCTCCTCCCTGACGGCTCTCGCTTCACGCAGGTTTCCCTCCTTCTCCCCCTCCCCCGGAGCGAGCGGGTTTGTGCGTTTGGGGCACCCGGGCCCACCCGATCACGGCCTCCCGGCCGAGAGCCGCTGCCCGCCGGTGAGGGGCGGAGGAGCGTGTGCCCGGCGGGATGGGGACCTGGGGTTGCGAGGCTGGGGCTGTGAAGTTCCAGCAACTGCTGTCCCACCCCGAGCGTGTCCTCCGCGTTAGGAAGGTCTATCCCCGCCGCAAGCCTGACATGGGGGACGCGAGCGCTGCCACGGACCCGAGGCGTGTTAAGCCAAACTGGTATCGCCGTGTTCGGACAAGAGTGACCGACGTAGGACGGCGAGTTGTAAAACGCCACAGAACAGAAATTTCAATACTATTCGAGTAAGTTGAGGTTAGTGTAATTTGTTAAATCCCCTGCTTCTAGAGAGGACGCCACGGGACATGTGGCGGCGGGGCGCGGGGGTGGGGGAGCGGGGCAAGGAGGGAGGCGGTAGGTGGTGACATCCCGTGGTACCCCGCCGGCGGCCACACTGGAGAAGTGACCGGTTACAGCGACAGACACTCCGTACAGCCCGGTCACCTCCTCAGAAATAGGCTCCGCGAATGAGCCCTCCCAGGAAAGCCCCTCCGCGTCGTATTTTCGCACATCGCCCCCCCTCCTCATATATGGTCCCAGAGGTGTTCGGGGACATTACCCATCGAGTCGGGGCTGTGAGGGAGTCCCGGGGCAGCCGGCTGGGAAGCATCGCCCCGGCGGCTGGAAGCGGTGGTGGGACGTGCGGGGTTCGCCCGGATCCCGACCGAGCCGCTTCCCCAGCCGCCGGGCTGGGAGGCTCGGGGGGAACCGGATCACACCGCAGGGATTAGAAGGGAAAGTACCCGCTGGACGTCTTCCCCGGCCCACCGAACACCTCGCAGCCCGAGCCCTCAGAAGCCTTCGCCCCGGAGGAGCCCGGGCCGAGGGCCGGTGCCCCGGGAAGGCCTGGGCT